TACCCTGCCCCGCCTGCCAGGTACTATTTTCGGGGCTAGAATGGAATGGATAAATTAGGGGGAGGAGGAAAAGAACAAGAAATTAAATCAAAATTAAATATAGTTACAGGTCATGGTAACTATTATGAAGTACTGAGGAAGAGGTAAAGGGGAAACAACATTCCAATGGAGCAATGAAGGAAAGCAACTTGGGGAGGTGACAGTTGTGCTAGACCTAAACAGAGAGAAGGGTAGGTTGGGTAAATATTTTTGGGAAAAGCATTCCAGGTCCAGGGGAACAGCCAGAGCAAAGACCCAAGATGAGAAAAAACTTGGCATGAAGATAGGTGTGGTGAATCAACGTGAGTCATTTATTCATTATATTTAATTATATTTTCTTTCTTTCTTCTTTTTTTTTGGGGGGGCAGTAAAGGGAATTGAACCCAAGGGTGCTTTACCCATGAGCTAAAACCCCAGTCCTTTATCTTTTGAGACACGGCCTCTCTAAGTTGCTGAGGGTCTCACTAAGTTGTTAATTATTTTTTCCATCTACACAATATGAGATCAAGATCAAGAGCATATTTGATGATCAGATCTCCCCACTCTCTATACATACAACTTATACACCAGGATCCTGAGGAACAGGATCCCCTTCTCAATTTTAAAATTCAGCTCTACCCAGTTCCCAGTACAAACCAAGAACTGGACAATTGCAATGGAAGAGGCAAAGACTTAATAACCAGACAGATCTGCTCTGAGACCCAGGCAAGACACCCCATTCAGCCTCAGTTTCCTTATCTATGAATGGTAATAACATTATATGACAGATTTCCCACTGAGTCAGCCCTCCTCCTCCACCAAGACTTTTTTTTTTCAGAAAAAAAATGGAGTAATATACAACTGTCTCTGGTATTTAAGGTGATTTCCAAGGGAATAACTGGAAACTTGTGCATCAAAGCCTAGAATTGAGATTCCTACTCCTCATTTCTGAAATCTGATGGATTCGAGATCTTATATATGCTACCTGAGGAGGAGGAGGGGAGAGGGAAGAAAAATAAAGACTGAGCAGGGTGTGGTGGCACATGTCTGTAATTCCAGTGGCTCAGGAGGCTGAGGCAGGAGGATCTTGAATTCAAAGCCAGCCTCAGCAAAAGTGAGGTACTAAGCAACTTAGTGAGACCCTGTCTCTAAATAAAATACAAAATAGGGCTCAGGATGTGACTCAGTGGTCGAGTGCCCTTGGGTTCAATCCCCAGTACCAAAAAGAAGAAAAAAGAAAAAATAATAAAGACTGAAGAAACTAAGGCCCAGAGAGGTCAAGGAACTCGTTCACAGTCAATTATTTTTCATTTCTTTTCTTTTTCTTGCAGTGATTGGGATCTTACCAAGGCCTTGCACTTGAGCACTCTATCGCTGAGTTATACCTTCATCCCCTCATAATCAATTATTTTACCCCCAGTCTGTGAGATGGAGTCCATAGAGGATAGGCTTCCTCAGTCTACAAGATCAGTAGAATAATTTCTGAATCATTAAGGTGGGGTAGGGGTGGAATGGGGAGGTAGAGAGGAAATCAAACCTAATAAGGAGATGGAGCAGCAGGAGGAGAGGGTAGCTACTAACTTTGCCCCTTAGGAATTCCTGGTAGAAGGGAGAATCCCCTAGAGCTAGAGAAGGAGAGAGTCTCAGGTTTCCCTGAATTCTTACATGAGCCTTCATCCCCTAATCCACTTCCTATCCTGGCCAGGTCCCATGTCTGGGGTGGTAGGCACTGAGTCTAGGAAGGGCCTGTCAACATCACCTATTCCCCCTTCCAGTTTCCCAGAGAAACCCTGGAAATCTGGCATTCTGGAACCCCTTCCTCCTCAGGCTTTGTCCTGGAAAAGACCTTCCAACAAACAACCTCTCAATGCCTTTGAACACTGGCTACAGTAGGCACAGACTTGGGGTAAAAGAATTGACTAAAGGCCTGGGGATGCAGTTCAGTGGTAGAACACTTACCTAACCGCCCCCCCCCCCCCAACAACCACACACACAAAATATCATCTGAGCAAGTTGCCTGACCTCTTTGGTGCTATTTCCTCACTCTTTAAAATGAAGACAAAAAAGCTTACTTCCCGGGCTGCAGAGAGAATCAAAGTAAATGATGTCTGCAAAGTGCCTGGCTCCTTGTAGCCACCTATAAATGGTAGCTGTTATTATCATTGTTGTGTTGTTATTGTTAGTACTGGATTCACTGACTCTGAATCATCATTGATTGTTCAATGCATCATTATTTTATGTATCACCAAGAAAGAGAAAAAAGTACTGTCATTTAAATTATGACTCACCAGGACTTGTGAGATGCAGGCTGACTTCAGAGATGTTAAAAAATTAAGCATTTGTTGAGCCCTGTCTGGTGATAGTTTCATACCCTGTGCTTTGGTTCCCTTGTAGAAACTCATTACATGTGTCCCATGGTCTGTGTACCCTTCTGCATGTATGTTACACTCCCAAATGATGTTTACATTAAAATAGGTCAAACCTATTGCAGCATGAAATGGATAAAACCTTGCCTTGGCCTCAGCATTGAGCAAGGTAGTATACACAATAGGCACTTCATTTATGTTGAATGTACAGACAAATGATAGGGGATGTGACATAGTCATAAAAAGGTGACATATTGCTTCTGATGTCTCCTGGAAAATGCTAGTCCAGAAAGATTCATTTTCCAGAAGTGGGAGACATCCACCACAAGGTCATTCATGAGAGGAAGAAACTGCCCAAGGTCACAGAGTATAGTAAATGGTGGAGCCAGGATTTTAAATATTTCAGAACTTCACTGTTATTTTATTATTATACTGTTTGGGTAGAGCCCAGGGCTGCTCCCCACCACCCACAGACCCCTAGATCTTCCCTCCAGATCCAGGCAGGCAGAGGTCATGACTTACGACAGGTTTCCTGGACTAGTGGGAGTTGGAGGGCCTTGCCTGCCAGGGATACAGGGAGCATGTGAGGACTAGCATCAGACTTTTCTAGAAGGATTAAGGGACAGAAAGGGTTGCATGCTGGATCTTAACACTGTTTACTGTTCTACTTATGGCAAGCAGAGGCTGATAGAACCTCAGACAGACCAGCCATTTCTCCTGTAAGCTCATGGTGTAACAGAGAGAAGGACAGTTTGAGAAACTGACAGTGAGATTTCCAGATGCTGTAAGGCAATAAACATGCAACTGAATGACAGCCCACCTAGGATTGGCTGGGGCTAGTGGCCTGACACTGGAAAAAGCCTAAGGGCCTCCTGAGGCTGGCTGACTGATGACACATGGTTCTTCTGCTGGGCTGGGTGTCATTTCTGGGAGTTATAACTGGCTGACTACTGCTAGGAATCACACCTGGCCTGAGGAAATGTCTGGATATTGTACTTTCTGGCCTTTGTGTAAGGGAGGGCTAACCTGAGGGGATTTCAGGATGACTGGTCAATAGGTTTGAGGTTGCCTGCGCTAGGCAGTTGTATCTGGTAAACAGTTGTCCACCCTGACTGCATCACATGCTTGAAGGCCTGGCTGTGTCATCTGACCTACTGATCACCCCACAGGTGGTGTGATCGGTGAGATGCTGAGAATGACTACCTAGCTGATTGACAATATGGTGAGGAGAAGACTGAATGAGTCAAATCACAAGCCAGCTTATTGATCAATATAGCTTCCTGATTCCTTGACTGCATGTGGTTATGGACTGTCTGCCCTGAAAAAATCTCAGCCTCTCTGAGGGGTCCAACACATTAGAAGATACCAACTGACTGACCTGTGGTGGGAATGACTTACGACAGGTTGAGAAATGGCAGACTGGCTGTAGGAATCCAGCTTGACCTGACTACAGCCATCTTGGTTGTAATAGCCATCTTGCCTACCAGGTAACCTAAGCACTTATTTAAACCCTATAGGATAAACAAAATCATTAAGATAAGTCAAGTGTGCATTCATGCTGGATACTGGATGCTCCAGATTTTTCTTAACTGACATTGAATGTATTTGTAGTTTTGTTGTTGCTGTAGTTTGTTTTGAGAAAACCCAGGTACATTCTGGTTGGCCTCACCCAGCTTAGCATATAAACCCCTTCCTCCTGTCTCAGAGTATGGAGATTCTCCTGTCTTGCTGTCACCTAACATATGCTTCTGTCTGTAAATCCCTAATAAATTGCATTTAGTGTAATCCTGGATCTGTCTAGCTCTTTAATCTCTCTGCACCTTCCACATTCAGCAGCCAGTTCTCCTACACCAGGTTTTCCTTACACACCAAGTGACCTACTAACAGATAGCCCGGAGATTTCATCACACCTCTAGTTGCTGTGACTATTTGCTTTAAGGGCTAGCTGGGTGTTGTGGCTGATTATGATGCAAATAAGGAATAACCTGAGGGAACTGCAGGGACCAATTGACAGGGTGACTGTTAGGGCTATATTAGAGCCTAACAAAGACGGTTTGTCCTAACTTAATCCCAACCTTCCTGAGGCAGGGCTGAATGTTGTAGTTTATGAGATTTGCTCTTGAGGGAACCACAGGTGGTCCCAGGGCAGGACGGGGAGGAGGGCTGCTTATCTGGCTGAAAAAATGATGGGGACTGTTTGAGGTAATGACAGGCAGGCTCCCTAACAGCGCCAGAGGGCACAAATAGATGCTGCTCTTGATACAGTGAATGGGGAGGCAGTTCTGAATGGACACCTATTTAGGGTGACTGACCCATGGTCTGGTTTGAATCCCGTGACAGACTGAGCAGCTATAAGTGGCACTAGTCCACCTCAGGAATCACGGGCTGCTTGGGGTTAAAATAAGAGGATGGACTGACAGACTGAGGTAATTGGGGGTCTGACAGAACTGAGAATCCCCCGTATGACTGGCTGACGACGTGATTGGCTATCAGCGTGACAGACAGACCGGCGTACGGATAGGGCCTGGAGCAACCTCCGCCGCCGCCGTCACCGTCGTCGCCGCCGCCCAGACGCACTCTGGGAAAGCACGGCGAGCACCCGCCTCCGGGACCGAGCCGGTGGTGGGGAGGGGTCCCGTCACGGCTCGCCGGTTGGTCCGCGCGGGCGCTGCTGGCGGGGAGGCACGGCCAATAGGCTGCGCGTTCCCGGCCACGCCCGCGCGAGCTCTCTTCTCGCGAGGCCGGCTAGGCCCGAATGTCGTTAGCCGTGGGGAAAGATGGCGGAAAATTTAAAAGGTGAAGCAGTGGCGGTGGAGGCACGGGCCCGTTGGCCGGGCCGGGTGGGCTGGAGGGGTGGTGTAGCGGGCTCGGGATCCCGGCGTCCGAGGCCACGGAGCCGAGAGCCGGAAGCCCAGCGCGGAAAGGATAGGGCTCAAGGAGCGCGGGCCTGGCGCGCGGGGCTGGGCGGGGCTGAGAGGAGGGGGCGCGCGCTTCAGAATGAGTCGGGCACAGGGCTGTGAGGGGACCCAGGAGGGTGGCGTGCCGCAGATCGCGACAGAACCGGCGCGCGCACGCGCGGGGTCTTGCCGGGGAGGCCGCGCCCGCGCGCGGGAAAATTGGCCCCCGGTGACCGTTACCCTTTCGGTGTCCACGCGAGACGCCGGAAGGGGAGGGAAGAGAAGGGGGACAGATCACTCCATTAGAGTTGGGGAACTGGCGAATTTTTCGCTGAGGGGGTATCACCTCAGCGTGATGTGGAAAGGGTTTGGAGTAGAGGATTCCCCCCTAAAGAAGGGAATGGGGCCACCCTAATAGTAGCGCTGGACTCCCCCATGTGTGGTGAAAGAGGGGTGATTGTGTGTTGTGGGGGTTCCACTGCGTGAATGAAGCTGTGAGGAAGGATGGATTCCACAAGTGGGAGCGGAACCTCTGAGGGGTAGGGGAATAAAGCTGTGGTCATTGCAGAGCCAGCAGCTGGAGATGTTAGTTGGGACCACTTCAGTGGGGTTTCAAATGCAAGTTAAGGGCTTTGGAAGGGAGGCATCATGGGGAGAGAGTAGCATGGGCACAGGTTCAGTCTCCACTAGGCCCTGCTAAGTGTAGGGGAATCGGACAAAATATATATATATTTTTTTCAATGGCTCTTCTGAGTTTTTAGGTTGACATCTAGAGTATTCATCATGAAATTAAATGTTTCATGCTTGTCACAGGAGATAGAAATAAGAAACATTTTTTAAAAGAGTGGAATAGGATGAACTGGTTATTCTGAATCAAATGTTTTGTAACATTATTTCATAAAATGGCTTCTTAAGCACATTAATGAAGGATGTGCCTTGAATAAGAAATATCTGTATCCTTACACCCCCATATTTTGAAAAAATTTGGCAACCCCCCCCCCAGGAATATTTCATGTATATTTAAAAGAATGGATGTCACTAACCTATATTGTTTTGTGTTTCTGAATTCAGAGCACAGCCCTTTGCTTGAGCTCTACATCTGTCACCTAAATAGGAATGAGACAAAGTTAAAATGTAGCAGTATGGAAAATTTTACTTTGTGTATTTAAGGTGCCACGGACTATCATTAAAGGAAGCTTCCTGAAATGTAGTATTATTCCATACTCTTTATTTATAATTAAAAAATCTAAAAAGCCCTGAAAATGTATCTTTTTCTTAAATTTGGTACCATTCATGGTAAAAGGAGATTTTTAAAAGTTGGACTATTCAATGAAGTTTTCTACATCTTTATTTTTCCTGTTTAATGTGGAAAACTCATACTTTTGCTGCAGAAGTGTTTAATTATGGCTTGAGGACCTTGAACACACTAGGCCAGGGATTAATAAATGGGATATATTTATTAAATTACACTTGTAAAATCCCTCAAAATTTGAATTCCAAAAAACATCTGGCCCAGGAGTTATAGATTGATGACCAGTCTTTCCAGTTACGCCTTTGTTTGGTGCCCATGAGGTTTTAATCCCATCCCCACCCCACCTGCCTTAGGGCAATACACCCTACTGAGATGGGGGGTTGGTCTCTTTCTTTTGCTAAGTAGGGGGAAGGATGAGCTGGTCTTGAAGGTGAGTTTATCAGAATAGTGTAAGCAGGGAGTTTTAAGAATAGTGTAGAAGGAGTTAGAAGCTCTGGGAATAGATTCCTTTGGGACTATGATTGTAACAAACCTTATTCTGAGTGCTGTTGGCTTCAGGGATACCCTTTGACATTGAGCATTGAGATTCAAGGGAAAGACACATTTAAGGGTCTCAGTATTGGGCAAAGCCTGTATATTAAATTTATCTGACTCCTAGGCAGTCCTTAGGATGTCCCAGATAGGATTTGGGGTCCTCATAGATCCCTGAATTGGCCAGGCTGTCCAATAACAGCTATTTTCACCCACCTTGTTCCAGGCTGCAGTGTGTGTTGCAAGTCTTCTTGGAATCAGTTGCAGGATCTGTGCCGCCTGGCCAAGCTGTCCTGCCCTGCCCTTGGCATCTCTAAGAGGAACCTCTATGATTTTGAAGTCGAGTACCTGTGTGATTACAAGAAGATCCGAGTGAGTCTGGGCCCAAGATGTCCTAGGAGAGAGCAGGTTTCAAGGAAATTGACCCTCAAACCCCTTTGCCCCTCACTGCCCTCCTTGGTTTCCAAAGAGAATTTTCTTTTCTGTTCCTTCCTGAAAAATAAAAGATGAAGAAATCCACTTATTCTCATTTTACAGGTGGAGAAACTTAAGTGACTTTTTGAGGGGGACAGGAGCCAGAACAAATCCCCAAATAAGTCTTTCTTCTACCACCCTAGAAATACAAAACAATTGCAGAGATGAGATGCTGAGCCCAAGAGGGGATTTGGTGATAGCAAATGGTTATTGAGCACTTTCAGCCTGCCAGGCACTTCCTCTCAGAAACTTATTTAATCCTCCCACTGCACTGTGTAAGTGGCAACAGTTAATGATTGCCAGAGGAAGTAAGCCAGGATAGTTAGGTGAGCAGACTAGAGCCAGTGTGCTTGGGTTCAAACTCTGGCTGAGTAATTACCCAAACTCTTTGGACTTTATTTTCCTTGTCTGTAAAATGGGGAGGACTACTAGTATCTACCTCATACAGAGTTGTGAGGATTAAGTTTGTTACTAGGACATGTCAGTTGCTTAGCACAGTACCTGTTACTTTATAGATGGCATAAAAATGTTAGCTATTTTCTTTGTTGAATACAAGGAAACTAAGGCCCAGCAGAGTTAAAGCCAGGGAGCTACAGATGGATGATTTGTACCCAGATGTCTAACTTTAGAATATGTGCTATTAAACTCTGTCCTCTAGCTGCCTCCCAGCAATAAAAGCTTTCTCTGGCTGCTGTGTAGAGAATAACATATAGGGACAAGGGCAGAAATGGGAACCAGTGAGATAGCTCCTGGACTCCTGGGGCTTGGCAAGCCATATGGTTATTTGATGGTTTGAAGGGGTCAGATTCCAGATGTATTTAGAAGATGGGGCTAACAGGATGTGCTGAGGGTAGATGTAGGGTGTGGGAGCAAATGACTAGTCAAGGATGACTCCAGGAGTTTGGGCCAGAATAGTTAGAAGGAAGGAAGAAATGATGGAGAAGACAGAGGAAGGAGTAGGTTTGGAAGATTACATGAAAAGTAGGAGCTGGGCATGTTGGTACACACCTGTAATCCCAGTGGCTTGGGAGACTGAGATAGGAGAATTGCAAGTTCAAAGCCAGCCTTATAACTTAGTGAGGCCCTAAGTAACTTAGCGAGACCCTGTCTCAAAATAATAAATAAAAAGGACTGGTGATGTTGCCCAGTGGTTAAACACCCCTGAGTTCAATCCCTGGTACCAAAAAAAAAGTAGGAATTTGGACAGATAGTAAGGAGGAAGAGTGGGAGTTGAACCTAATAATCCTCATTCCAGAGCTCCATGCTTTCTAGCCATTGCACAGAATTGTTCCAGAAGAGGAGTGGGAAGGGGTGAATGGTCTCCGTTGTCCCATAGGTCTCACCACTTCCGGTGACCTCAAACCTCTGCCCCCCTTCAATAGGAACAGGAATATTACCTGGTAAAGTGGCGTGGATACCCTGACTCAGAGAGCACCTGGGAACCAAGGCAGAATCTCAAGTGTGTGCGCATTCTTAAGCAGTTCCACAAGGACTTAGAAAAGGAGCTGCTCCGCCGGCATCACAGGTTGAAGCCACCCCGGCATCTGGACCCAAGTTTGGCCAACTACCTCGTGCAGAAGGCCAAGCAGAGGCGGGCACTTCAGCGCTGGGAGCAGGAGCTCAATGCCAAGCGCAGCCACCTAGGACGCATTACTGTGGAGAATGAGGTGGACCTGGATGGCCCCCCACGGGCCTTCGTGTATATCAATGAGTACCGTGTTGGTGAGGGTATCACCCTCAACCAGGTGGCCGTAGGCTGCGAGTGTCAGGACTGTCTATGGGCACCAGCTGGAGGCTGCTGCCCTGGGGCATCCCTGCATAAGTTTGCCTACAATGACCAAGGCCAGGTGCGGCTGCGAGCCGGTCTGCCCATCTATGAGTGCAACTCCCGCTGCCGCTGCGGCTATGACTGCCCCAACCGCGTAGTACAGAAGGGCATCCGCTACGATCTCTGCATCTTCCGCACAGATGATGGGCGTGGCTGGGGTGTACGCACTCTAGAGAAGATTCGCAAGAACAGCTTCGTCATGGAGTATGTGGGAGAGGTAGGGAGATGGGATTGGCATGCGTGTGCAGCTTTTCCTATTATGTGTCTTGCTATGTATGCATCCAGCTTCTGCAGTATGTATTTGAAACTCCCCTGCTTTCCTTGTGGGAAAGGCCTGAGAGGTGGTTCTGAGTGTCATAGCAGCATCCTGGTAGGGGCTAGTATTCCAAGCTGGTACCAACAGCATGACCATGCTTGTAATGAAAAGAAGATTGAAGTACTTCTGGACAGGGGTGGCTTCATAAGGGTACCTAGCAAAGAAGGAAAGTGGGAACCAAGGTTAATTCTTTCAGAGGTTATGTGGTCTAAAAGCACAGGGTTGTGTCACCTGAAAAGGCCTGTCCCCTTCTTATCTCACAAGGGGCCATCTTATCACAAGCATCATCTACCCAAAGAAACACCTTTCACTATACTACACAAAAGGAAGGTGAAAATTCTAGAATAGGACAGAGACACATCTTGGACAGAGGTTGGCTACCTTCTGTAGACTTTCAGGTCACCCTGGGGAAAGACAGGGTACATTAGACAGGCCAGCTGCTATAATGTACAACCCCCAAATCTTAGTGGTTCTGCACATCAGGAGCTGGTTTGCTCACGAATGGTCCAGTGTGGGTGTTTGGGTGGGCATCATTTCACAGTGACTCTAACATTTAGGTTCTTTCCCTCTTGTGACTTTCCTGTGCTTTTGAATATCTAAGTCATTGCTAGTTTGTCAGCATTGCTTGGCGGGTGGGCCCAGTTGGGGATAGATAGTTAGGGTTCTAATGGCTCAGGTCTGGATGCAGTGCATGTCACTTCTGCCCACACTTTATTGACTGGAACTGAGCCACTGGCCTTACCTCAGTGTAAGGGAGGCGGGGGGTGGGTGTGGGTATGTGTGCTTTAGCTGTGTGCTCAGGTGCAAAACAGAAGGGGTCTAGGTGAGTAATCTGCAAGGGACTACAACAGAACGTGTCACCTCCTAACATAGAACATGATGAGCATTTGTCGGGGAGCAATTCTTTTTCATGTATACCTGTATCATACATTGGGAGATATTTAGCATCTCTGAACCTTGACCATCTAAATCTATAAGTGTGCCATAGAGTCAGGACAACCCCAAATACCTCCATATACTTCCATAGTATATATATCAGGGGTGTGATATGGTTGAGAAATGACAGAAAGTGGCCTGAGGGACACATACCTAAGGGTGTCTACACTGTAGTAATGACACTGATAGTGAGGAGAGGCTCCCATTTTGAGGAACCAGAGAGTAGAGAAATCAGATCCAAGAGGCAGAACCGTCTACAACACAGAAGGACCTAACAGTCTGGACAAAGGGACTGTCACACCCGAGATGATCTGCTGGAGGAAATAGCCACATGCTGGAGGGCCAGACAGTCTGAGGAAGGAGGAGGCGTCCACACCCAGAGGGTTCCTGTCAGCAGCAGGAATAGGGATCCACATCTTAGAGTGACCCAATGACCTGGAGGAAGGGCTCAAGCTCTCCACACTACAGAGGGCCCTGACTTAGAAAGTTTCCACACTCATGCTGTCCTGAGTCAGAAAAAAGAAGTATCCTCATCCCCAATGGATCTGGATAGCCTGGGACTTAAGTCTATACCTGTAGTCACTCTGACAAGCTGAAGGAAGTTTGTACATTCTCAGGGACCTGATACTCTGGATCTTGAGGAGGGTGTATGCTTACTGTGGGTGGCCCCTGACAGGTCCAGAGGGGGAGTTATCCAGATCCCATTGGCCCTGGACAGTCTTAGATGCTGTCCTGAGCTGGAAGCATTTTGGCCTAACCATGCTGAATGGAAGAAAACACACACAGGGACATACAGGAGGAAGAGCCTATAGTCCACAGGCAGCCTGAGTTCTCTGAGCTTAATGTCTTCACTCCTCTATACAGAAACAGCAAGGTTTTCAGGGGCCTTCTCACTCTTCCCACTCTCCACACATTCTCTCCACAGTTCCTTTTTTCCCAAATATTTATTCTTTAGTTGTAGTTGGACAGGATACCTTTATTTTATTCATTTATTTTTATGTGGTGCTGAGGATTGAACCCAGGGTCTCGTACATGTGAGGTGAGCGCTCTACCGCTGAGCCACGACCCCAGCCCTCTCCATGGTTCCTTGATCTCCCACTTTGCTACATTCAGTGACTTTCAGGCCCCCTCTGGCACCCTAAGACCTATGAATCCTCTCAGTGAGGCAACAGGTCTCCAAACCCTGCCAGAACAAAATTTATCTTCCCACATGGCTTTGGAAGAGGCAGCACAGCAAGTGGGTAGGAGGGTGAGCCCTGGAGCCAGCCTGCCTGAGATTGCATCCCTCTTCACCTCTCAGTTTCCTAATCTGGAAAATGGGAATGATAACAACACCCACTTTATATGCTTGTTAGAGGTATTTATTTAAAAAAATTAATTGGTACATTATAGTTATATATAAAAGAGGAATTCATTGTTCTACATTCATATCTGTACATAGCATAATTTACTCAATCTCATTCCCTAGTAGTATCTCCCCTTTTCTCTCCTTTCCCCTGATCTCCTTCCTCTACATTACTGGTCTCTCTTGTTAGAAACATTTAACTAGTGTTTTTTGTTTGTTTGTTTGTTTTGGTACCAGGGATTAAACCCAAGGGTGCTTTACCACTTAGCCACATCCCCAGTCTTTTTATATATTTTTAAATTTAGAGACAGTGTCTTGCTCAGTTGCTTAGGGTCTCGCTAAGTTGCTGAGAGGCTGACTTTGAACTTACAATCCTCCTGCCTAAGCCTCCCGAGCCACAGGGATTACAGGCATGTGCCACCATGCTCGGCTTAACTAGTTATTCTATGTGAAACAGTGCTCAGTACACAGTGAGACTCAGGTGGTAGAGTCCAAAAGTCAGTAAATCCAAAATGCTCAGAAAGTGAAAGGGTTTTTTGTAACCCATCTGGCTGCAAACCCCAACCTGACCTCAAAAGGGCTTATTTATAGTCTTTGTTATCCTATTTGGGGTGAATATTCTATATTTTATCACAGAGACATTACTGTATTATGTGGTTCCAGATACTTCCTAGGTGCTATGAAACCTGGATGCCATGCTCTTCTTCCCCTCTAGGGACACCAACAATCTGTACTGACAGTTTCTGCCACATGGGCAGCCCTTTACTCCTTTGCACCCTTCCTTGTTTGGTCCAAACTTTGACATTTTTTTAAAAAAAATATATTTTTTAGTTGTAGTTGTAGTTTAGTTGTATTTCTATGTGGTACTGAGGATTGAACCCAGGGGTGCTAGGCAAGTGCTCTACCGCTGAGCTACAACCCCAGCCCCCAAACTTTGACATTTTTGCAGAGCATTTTCATCCACATCCTACAGAGGATGTTAGCACATTTTATTCATTCTTAAACATGTACTCTCTTCATAGTTTAATATCTCTGAAATGAAGATGAGTCTTAATTGGTTTAATTAAATGATACCATATCATTTAATTAGCAGCACTTTTCCCTCTCTTGGTAAAGGGTACATAAAATAAAGGTGCATCTTAGATCCCAATAAGGTACAGCACTCAATTACTCTTTATGTTGCTTTGTTCCTAACAGAAACACTTTGTATCTATGATCCATGGTCTAGTTTTCTTTTTTTTACCATGCTGGAGATGGAACCCAGGTCTTGGAGCATGCTGAGGTAGCATTCTACTACTAAGCCACATCCCTGGCCCTTCCATGATCTTGTTTGGTCTTTACACAGGGCCTGTCAGGTTGGGATTTTGTCATTGTCATTCCCATTCTACAGATGAGAAAATGGAGGCCCAATGAGGTTTAGTAACTTACTCAGAGTCTCAAAGCTAGTAAAGTGAGCAAAATAAATAAAAGGGGGCCCCAGGGCTGCGTGTAGTTTTAGCTCAGTGGTAAAGTGCTTGCCTAGCATGTGAGAGGCACTGGGTTTGATCCTCAGCACCACATAAAAATAAGTTAAAAAATAAACGTTAAAAAAGGGCCCACATATCTATAACTGGTGCTCTGCCAGGCCTGCTGGCTTTTTTTTTTTTTTGGCTGAGGACACAGGATCAGACAGAACATTTAGGATCCCACATCCAGGAGGGGAAGAGAGGCAGCTCACTCCAAGTACTCTAATTCTCATTCACATTGGCAGCCTGTCTAAGCTGCCAGCTCCTAGTCTGTCTTCCCCAACAGTGTGTAGAGCTACTAGGGGGCAGAGATGGGGATAAATTTATTCCCAGGTTTTTAGGGTGAACCACCCACTACAGAGTAGGACTAAAAAAAAGGTAAGAGAGAAGCAACCGTTTGTGCCCTGGAGGGCTTGATAGTATGATTCACTTTTGGTGAGACTCCAGGAGCAGGTAGGGGCAGAACAGGCAGAAAGATGGAACCCAGGGAGGATGTAGGCATTACCCCTGGCTTGGGGAGGGGCTATAATTACAAAGATGGTTCAGATAGTAGCCAGTGTGTTGGTGAGCTGAAGAGGCTGCCCTTTTGATATCAGGGTTTAATGAGAGGCTGCTGACTTCTGAGGTGGGCTGGGAAGCTAGAAACCCAAAGAAGTCCCATCTGAACCAACACCACAGAGTAGAACACATTCTCCAGGAGGTAGAGGGAGACTGACCTCTGCAAACTTCACCTCACCATGTTCCTGTGGCTTTCTTTTCTTTCTTTTTTTTTTTTTTTGTACCAAGGATTGAACCCAGGGATGCTTAAGCACTGAGCCACATTCCTAGCCCTATCTATCTATCTATCTATCTATCTATCTATTGCTGAGGCTGGATTTGAACTTGCAATCCTCCTGCCTTAGCCTCCTGAGTCACTGGGGTTACAGGTGTGTGCCACCTTGCCCAGCTTCCTGTGGCTTTTGTTGCATCCCTCAGGAGAGAGTCCCCCTCTTCAACCTGGTGGTAATGCCCTTTTATGAGCTGCAGCTTGCTTTAAAGGATGTATATCTTGCATTGCCCCTTGATTTCCCCCTCGGCACTGTTTCCTTTTCAACCTCTTGCACTCTGGTTGTCTTGACTCCATTTCTGTTATCTCTGTGACACCTGAGGGTAGGGATGAGGCCTGTACTCTGAATCTGCCCCACCAGACTCTGACCCCTGCCAGCTGGGAGTAAGCACAGTGTAGGCCTCAATCCTCAACACAAATCCACTGAATGGCTGGGGGTAGGGCTCAGCAGGAGAACACATGCTTATTAGCATGTGCAGTCCCTGGGTTCCATCTCCAAAACCACAAATAAAAAAAATCACTGAATGAATGAGTAAACAAAAAAACAGATTGGGGCTGGGTTGTGGCTCAGTGGTAGAGCGCTTGCCTAGCATGTGTGAGACACTGGGTTCGATTCTCACTACCACAAATAAATAAATAAAATAAAGATCCATTGACAACTAAAAAATATTTTTAATAAAACATAAATTGGGTGTGAGGGAGCTAAGTTCCTCTAGGAAAGGAGCAGGAGCTGGGAGCATTGAGCAGTGAGGCCCCTGTGCAAATCTGGGTTTCATAAAAGCAAAGTTGATAAGCAATTGGCATATAGAATAGGCTGAAGGTGATGGCATAAGAGGCAGATTGGAGACTAAGTACACCAGTGTGGCTATTACTAGAGAATGGTAGGGTGGTCACACAAGAAAGAGGACAGATGTGAAAGCTGGAAAAGTATGGTCCCCAGGCCATAGGTGGCAGGGTAAGGAAGGGTCTTGGGTTTGTATCTACTGTTGGCATGTGGCTAAGGAGTGGGCAATGGATCTCTTAGGAAGGAAGGGGAAAGGAATAAGAGGTTTGGAGGAAGAAAACATTGGAGTTGCCTGAAGTACACCACTTGGACAGAGCACAGGTCACTGTGATAGAGTGCAGAAGGAAAAGAAAACAGTTATTGCAGATCTGACTATGGGTTGTACACAGTTCTGGCACTTGTCTCTAAGGTTTGGGGAAAAGATAGTAGGAAACCCAGAAGTGGGGGCACCCCAGACTGAAGAGGAGGCAGACTTGGGTACAGTGGGACCTCCACCTGGAGAAGGGCATAGTCAGTCATCCACAGTTGGGCACTGCTGGAGGCAGTTACTGGCCCCAGAGTTGGGGGAGAGGTGACCTGGGGCCAGAGAGGAGAGATCTGTTTGAATATGAAATAGGATCCATCAACAGCTTTAAGAGACAAGTACAGGTGGAGCTGGGATGGTGGAGCACCTTTCGGGGACCCATCTGGGAAGTTAAAGTGGTAGGAGGTGCCTACTGGTCTCTCAGCCCCAATTATTGACACTGCTGTAGGAGGGCTTCTGTCATCTGCACTTTGGTTTTCCTTTCTTTCCCACCCTCTCCTGCTTGCTCTCATTGTCTTGTCATTCTATATCTTAAGTTTGGGGCAACAGCTTCTTGCTGGCCATTTCAGACTCTCAGAGGTCTTGGCCTTGGACTTTCTCTAGGAACCTTGGTTTTCACTCTGGGCTTCATATGTGTTTCTCACTCTGTCTCTGCTTCTAGTGCTCTTGTATGGGTCTCTTTCCCGTTCACTCAGGCCTTTTCTCTACCATCACAGATCTCTTTCTTCCCCTCACTCCTGTGTCTGTCTAGCCACCTGGCTTTCCCTTGTGCTGGGACTTGCACTGGCTCCTAACCTCTTGACTTGGATCAGTTTTTCCCCCTGTCTCCCTATGGTACCCTGGATCTCATTCTTTCTTGCCCTTGCTCTGGGTTTCTCTGTGTGTCTTTGTCCCTGTATTGCTCTATCCCAAGGGTTCGATAGGCTCTGGGACATCTCATACAGTCTCACTGGGCAACAGAAGGTGGGGTTTTGTTTCACTCTAATCCCCCATCATTGAGAGACTCTTCCTGCCATCCAGATGCCTAAGGGGGGTGGTGGGCAAGTGGGAAGCCCCTGATAGGGCTGACAGATGCATTACATCATAGTCCCCCAAGTGTCTATGGGGTGGGTGCTCACTGTTCTTCTCTTCCCAGGAGGCCAGGCCACTGGGGTCAAGAGCAGGGCTGGCTATCCTGAACCTTGATTACCATCTCCCCCACCGTTTCCGCAGATCATTACCTCAGAGGAGGCGGAGCGGCGGGGCCAGATCTATGACCGTCAGGGTGCCACCTACCTCTTCGACCTGGACTACGTGGAGGACGTGTATACTGTGGATGCGGCCTATTATGGCAACATCTCCCACTTTGTTAACCATAGTGTGGGTGCTCCCGGCACGTGGGGAGGGGGTTGGGAGGGGCAGGCCAGGGCCCCTCCTCACCCTCCCACTGTTCTTTCTCGCCCAGTGTGACCCCAACCTACAGGTGTACAACGTCTTCATAGACAACCTTGATGAGCGGCTGCCCCGCATTGCTTTCTTTGCCACAAGAACCATCCGGGCAGGCGAGGAGCTCACCTTTGATTACAACATGCAAGGTGGGGGTGGCAAGGGCCCAGGGGCAGGGGTACATGGTGATGTGGGATGGTGAGGACCCCACCCAAGGCATACCAGTCACTCAAGGAAGCAAGGGAAGTTCTTTAGCTGGAGCTTTAAGATGCTCCTCCTGACTCCCAGTCTCCTGTCAAGTTTCTTAGACCCAGGCCTCCTGGGAGAGGACATGTATGTGGCTGGAGAGTTAGGCACTTCTGGCTCCCATCTGTACTGAATTGCCCCTTCCCCTCTCTACTCTAGCCCCCTGTGACTTTCCTCAGTCCAGGCCTTTGGAAAACCAGTCCCTTCCTTGATAGACTAGCCATCTCTGAGACTCAGTGTGGATCTGGGACAGGATGCTTCTATGGATACCCAGGTGGCCCTCCATTCCTGACCCCAGCTGACACAATCCTCCTGGTTCCCTGACAACTACCCACTTCTCCCAATAGCCCTTACCCGCTGGCCTGAATACCCCTTTGGTGCTGTGCTCAGGCTCTAGCCCCAAACCATCATCCCTAAGATCCCCTCCTAACTCAAATCCCAACCTGCTTCCAGCTCCCAAGATCCCTGGGTCTCCTGGTGTGAAGGGTAGCAGGATGCTTCATCCAGGCCTTCTAACAAATCCCCTCCCTCCCCCTTCTCCCGGCTGTGATTCCACAGTGGACCCCGTGGACATGGAGAGTACCCGTATGGACTCCAACTTTGGCCTGGCTGGGCTCCCCGGCTCCCCCAAGAAGCGGGTCCGTATTGAATGCAAGTGTGGGACTGAATCCTGCCGCAAATACCTCTTCTAGCCCTGAGAAGTTTGAGGCCAGACTGACTGAGGGGGGTCTAAAGCCACCTCCCCCTCCCCCACTCCTTCCCTCTTATGGGGGAATGACTGCCAGGGCCTTGCTGCCTCCACCTGCTCCCACTTGTCCCCTCTACCCCCCTCCCCCCCGCCTGCTCCACCTGCTCCAGGGTCAGGGCTGCAGTGAGGACCAACTCCAGGAGTCCCCTTTCTCTGTCCCAGCTCCATCTGTTGGTTGCACTTACAAACCCCTGCCCACCTTCAGAAGTACCTTTTTCCCATCAGGATTTTCTGCAGTTGGGATTTATGACCTATGAAGGAGGTCCAAGGGGTGAGCCCAGCCCCAGAACAGAAAGATACTTGTTTCTGCCTGGAGCCTGAGGGGTCTGCTGCAGGTCTCCTCCCTATTGCCTCGGGGTGTGGGGAAGCAACACCCTGGGCAGGCAGACATCAGAGCCCAGAGTTTCCAGCATGACTTGAAGCTGGTTCTCCAACCACAGAACCTTTATACTAGTGAAAGAAAAGGGGGTTTCCAGGGCAGGGTGCTAAGGCTGGTTTTTGCCCATTGTGCTTATGATGCTTATGATGTTGGCCTTAAGAGTCATAGGATATCTGCCAGGGCTTTACATCTGAGAAGTGGATGCCCATGGCCAATGAGAGGAAGGTGATCTATACTTTGCTAGCCCTGGAGGTGGCCAGGACTGAGTTCTACCTTCAGGAAACACAGAGAAGATGTCCCAGGCTTTCAGGAACACTGAGTGTTAGGACTCCTGCCATGGAGTGTGATGATTGCTAGGACTATTCAGAGCTGGAATCAAGACCTAGATAGTCCTAGATAGCACTTAGGAGAATAACATGCATTGATGGAAAGCTGATGAGGTGCATCTGGTCCACGTGGATTGTCTCAGGGAAGCCTTGAAAACCACAGAGGTGGATCCCAGGAAAGGGCCTGTGTGGTAGAAGGCAAAGTACAGGCCAAGAATGGGGGAAAGCTTACCCACTAAGATACAGTAAGGCAAGAGGAAATCTACTTCCCACCAGCCTCAGCCTCCAGCCCTTTGTGCTCACCTTGGGTCCACTGGTCTCCCAAATTGCCTACAAATGTACAAAAGGTGAAAGTTCTGATGGCTGCCTCGCCCTGCTCCCCCACCCTTGTGAGGTCTTCTCTAGGAAACCTTTACTGACTACCTGTGCCCAGAGTGCCCCTGTGTGAGACTGTGCACCCTGCTACCAGATCTATGTGTCTGTCTGTCTATGTGTCTGTCCTGCCCTTGCCCCCAAGGCTGACCTTCAGGCATGGACTGAATGTGGTTCTCCTCTTGTACACCCCTCAGCTCTACCCAGCCTGGAGTGGGCATCAATAAAATACATTGTTGACTGAATAAGCTAAGATGTGGAGATTGAGGGTCTGGTGGGATTTGGGGTTTGAGAGGTTGGGAGTTGGGTTTGCCCAGGAATGTGGTCCTCAAACCTTAACTGTCTGACTTGAACCCTACTTTGGGCCTCTATAGTGTAGTACTTGCACCATCGTTTACAAAATAGCTTGACATAAAATAAGCTTGCTTCATACTTCCTTTTTAAGATGCATTTAAAAAGCAAACCAGAGGCAGTGCTGTCTAAATGGATAAGCCATTATCACTTGCCATAAGCAAAAAATAACTAGCCAAAAAAGCCAATACAGGGCTGGGGTTGTGGCTCAGTGGTAGAGCACTTGCCTCGCACGTGTGAGGTATTGGGTTCAATTCTCAGCACCACATAAAAATAAATAAAGATATTGTGTCCATCTTTTTTTTTAAAGCCAATACAGGAGATAGGGTTGCGGCTCAGTGATAGAGCACTTGCCTGGCATGTGTGAGGCACTGGGTTCGATTCTCGGCACCACATATAAATGAATAAAGGTCCATCAACAACTAAAAAATACATATATATTTTTTAAAGCCAATACAATGGCAATAAAGAAATGTACTAAAATTTGAACTGGACCCTCCCTGCTCTTAAAGGCTTTGAATCCAAAGCCTGTCTACTGCATTCAAAAAGAAAACTTCTTGTGCCCTAGAGAAGCTTTCTCTACGAATATTTATTGAACACCTACATGTGCCAGGGTATAAAGCAGAGAACAAAGATGCAGTGTTTCAAATCATCATTTTCATCATTCCTCAACCTGAGTGTGAGTCTCTGGTTTTGCTCTGAGACTCTGATGCTGTGACATGAGACTCAAACATTTTCAAAAGTACACATAGGTAATAGTCCCAAACAGCCCAGAAACTTCATACCCTGGACGTGAGCCTCCTAGACCTTAGGTCTTGGGTATTCACCCCAGACCTCAGAGACCTCACACCCTGGAATATACACCTCCATACATATATGGAGCAGAGTGCTCCATCTGGGACAAAGACCTCAGTTAACTCAGGCTTCACTGGAACAGAGTTTATGGCTCTAAACCCTCACATGACGTCTTTCACCCTGGGATTCAGACCCAAAACACACCCAGGAACTTTCCTTCTGTCTTCTGTGATAGAGTTATGTAAGCACCTCAAAAGACCTTACAGCCTAGGACCTTCACACCCGATCACTGTCTTCCAAACTGCTCAGTTTTCACTTCCTGGGACAGACCCCCAAATGACTGAGGTGTCACAACCTAGACCCAAGATCTTACTGTGTTGCCCAGACTGGCTTCAAACTCCTAGGTTCAAGGTTTGAGTGATCCTTGTGTGCCACCATGCCTGGCTACTTAAATGGTTCTGAAATACCTTGGACACGAAGTTCCAAATCACTCAGAGATACTCTAAAAATCATCATTAAACATTCCAGAGACCTTGCTCCCTAGAATATAGTGCCTTGAACAATTCAGAGACAGATCTCAAGAGCTTAGAGATCTCAAGATCTTGTAGCCTGGATACAGACCCTGTTCAGAATTCATACCTTGGAGACAAATGTGTATATGCAGCTCAGAGACCTTCTGACAGACCCTGAACAGTTCACAGGACACCCTAAAGATAGACTATCAAAACTTCTGAGACCTTGTACTTTGTAACCCACATATTACAAAACCCAAAAAAGCTCAGATACCTCACAATTGGGAATAGAGACCTACTAATTTCTCAGAGAACTCACAAACCAGGACAAAGATGGTGAAACAGTTCAGAGATATCACACCCTCTCCTCAGACAACCAGAGACCTAATATCCCGAATGTGACCATAGAGCACTCTGAAATCACATATACTACTGGCCCTATACCAATCCAGATACCTTATAACCCTGGATACACTCTGATTCTGAGACGTCAACTGCTAGACACAATTAATAAAAAATGCTCACAAGTGTTAGACACTGAGACATCACCAACAGCTTGGAGACCTCACACTCTGATTTATAGATAAGATCAGAGACTTGAAGATCTGGATACAAACCCTCTACATAGCTTAGACTCCTCACATTCTGTGATGCAGCCCCCAAATAACTCTGAGGTCACATAGCCTGGGCACAGTTTCCAAACAGCTTAGAAACTTCATATCCTTGGCTCAGATGTCCAACAGATCAGAATCTTCCCCACTTTTTTGGGAGTATTGGAGCTGGAACCCAGGGCTTTGCACATGTTAGGCAAGCATTCCATCATTGAGCTACATCCCCAGCCTCCCTTTTTATTTGATTTTGAGACAGGGACTCACCAAGTTGCCCAGGTGGACCTCAAAGATGCAATTCTCCTTCCCCAGCTTCCCAAGTAGCTGGGATTACAGGTGTGTACCACTGTGCCTGGCTCTACTCTTAACTCAGACCTCCAAATGATTCCAAAATATCATACTCTGGACTCAGCTCCACACCATTCATGGAATTTGCACTTTGTACTCTATCCAGAAGGATTTCAGATCCCTGATGGCTACAGGGAAACATCACATTCTATGCAAAGATGGCCACAAATAGCAGAGATCTCATAAATGGGACACAGACCCCAAACAGCTTAATGATCTCAAATCATAGACATGGACTCCCAACCAGTTCAGAGAACTTCTAACCTGGAAGACTGATGTGAAAACATTTCAGAGGTATCACATCCAAACTACTTATACCCACATGGTGACTCACATGATAGGACACTAACTCCCAACCTGAAGATTACACCTTCACACAGCAGATATACAATGCCAAAATGCTCAGGTTGACAAACTTTACAGACCCCAGGACACATATACCCCCAAACACACAAGAGACACCAGAAACTGGTAATATAACCTCAAACTGCTCAGAGACCTCAAAGTCTAGAAACAGACCCCTAGTAAGTCAGAGACCTCATAGCCTATGACCAAGACACCCCCGACAGGAAGGACTTCACACTTGGAAAGAAGTAGTTGAAGAACCTAAGGAGTACAGAGATCCAAGATCTTACACTTTGGGACATGAAGGGTAAAGCACCTGAGAGGCTTGAGACAGTAAAATGATATCAGTAGAAAGACATCAGACTTCAAGAACAGATCCTGAAACTGTTCAGAAACAACACTAGGATAAAACCCAGAGCATCGTAGAGGATTATTCATTGGGATGTGGTTTCAAAACAGTTCAGAACCGGGCATGGTGGCACACATCTGTAATCCCAGTGACTCAGGAGGCTAAGGTAGGAGGATCACAAGTTCAAAGTCAGCCTCAGCAACTTTGGAGACCAACAGCTTGGAGACCTCACACTCTGATTCATAGAAGAGATTAGAGACTTGAAAATCTGGATACAAACCCTCTACAAAGCTTAGGCCCTAAGCAACTCAGTGAGACCCTGTCACAAAATTTAAAAAATTAAAATTAAAAAGGCTTGGGATGTGGCTAAGTGCGTAAGTGTCCCTGGTACAAAAAAAGTTTAGAGGGGTAATATCCCGGGCTCAGACATCCAAACACATCACAGTCTTCATATGAGGGTCACAGACACTTTATACCTGAAAAAAAGAGATGGTTAAATAACGCAGAGATATCATGACCTTGAGCTAAGAGATTTCAAAAATGCACACCTGCAAAACTTGCAAAAGCCCAGAAGACTCACTGGTACACACACACACCCATTAAGTGTTCAGAGACCTTGACCTTGGGGAAAAAAAAAAAACAAACCCTAATGAGTCAGAGATATCATACCCTCCCAAAAGGAACAGAGATGTCCCACCTTAAAATATATCCCAAACAGGTTAAGGAACTCTGGAACCAAACAGATCAGGGGCCATGTGTCCTAGGACACGGGTGGCTAAACATCTCAGAGATCTTACAATGTAAATACAATTACTCAAGTAGCTCAGTAAACTCACCCCCATGAATGCAGACCAGAATATGCTCAGAACCCTCAAATTCAGGATCAGAAATCCTTCTGAGACCTAAGATATAGACCTCAAAATATAATTCAAAAAATTAATATGCTGGATGCAGAATATCAAATAATTCAGACCTCAAATTGTGGGACACAGCCAAACAGATCAGAGACTTCACATCCTGGACATACACCAACAAACAGACCAAGGACCTCACTCCCTGTGATATACAAATGAAAAAACAGCTCAGAGAATTCAAATTCTAGGAAGCACATGCCCATAAAGTACAGAGACTTCACATCCTGTGACATACAAATAGATCAAAGACCACTCACACTGAGATATACACCCACAAACATTTCAGAGAAATAACATTCAGGGACATATACAGATAAAAAGACAATGGACTTCAATCCCTGGGACACATGCACACAAATACACCAGACACTTCACATGACAGGATAAACACCCACTTACACTCTGGGAAATAAACTATAGAATGCACCAGAGACTTCACATATTGGGACACACACCCACAAAGAAAGCACACAAAAGCAGACCACACACCTGATGATTATAATGCACACACACAAGTGACAACAGTACTAACAACCTGGAAGTGCATCCATAAATGGAGTAGAACCCTCGAGCCCTTGACAGTACTCTCACAACCATGTAAAAGAGTCACATGCTGAAAAACACACCCAGAAAAAGACAGTGGATCTCACAACTCTGATGTATGCTTGGAAACATATCAGAGAACTCACACCCTGGGACACATACTCTTACATAGATCAGGGAGCTCATACATAGGGACACACACCCACAAGCAGATCAGAAATTTCAAATCCTACATCATAATCACAATCAAGTCTGAGACTTCATGGGCCAGGAAAACACCAGAAACAGATCCTAAACCTGACATCCTGCAATGCAGAACCACAAAGAGAACAGAGAGCTCATGTGCTGGTTGATCCATTGCAACAGAGAAGAGAGACCTCCACCATCAGACACACACAGATAGATGATAGAGTTCTAATCCTGGAATGTGCGCCAACACCCAGACAAACTTACCATATCACATTAATTTTATATTGTTGCAGA